ATGAATAGTTGGTGAAAATATGTTTCGAGCAACCACTAAAAGGGGGTTGCCACAAATCCTCAAAGTAGCAACCTCGGCTAAACAATATAGCAACTACATGCATGACTACAAAAAATAAGGTCTATACCGAGGGTTCTCTAGCAAGGGTTTGATAAACCCCTGCTATCTTTTTCGGAACTCATCCTACCAGCGGTTTTTGCAAGGGCTTTTGAACCCCCGCTAAACACATAACTAATGAGCGAAATTAAAAAGGTAAGGGCCCAAACTTTTCAATCTCTCTCTCGTATTTTACTTTGTAAACGAATTCAAATACCGAAAACAAGAACTAGGTTATTCGCCGACCTCTCAATCTTCATCGCGATTCGCCGACGTCTCTATCTCCGTCGTGATGCGCCGACCTCTCTATCCCCGTCGTGATTCGCCGATCTATCTCTCAATCCTATTCTCCGGCCTCTCTCTCGCCTCGATAGAATTAGTGAGCCATTTTCCGTCCTCTCTCTCTCTCTCTCTCTCTCTCTCTTCGACAGAATCAGTGGGCGTAAATCAATGGTGGGAAAAGGGTAATAATATACATATGCTTTGATTGTTCTGCTAATTCTAGTTTGCAAGTCATTCTTGCTTTAGTTTCTCCTGTTGCATGGTCACAGTGATTCTTGGGAAGGCTATATACATATGCTTTGTCCATAAGTTGTTCGACGAAATGCTTGACTCAAGATATATGATTTGTTTCCTTCTTTCGGGTCCTTTTTTCCTACTTTTTGGTGCCGTTTTTGTCCCTTTCCTTTTGTGGATGAATTTTGGTGCATCATGTCTAACCGCTAACTCCTCTCTTGGTTTCGTTTCTCCAATTTGTGGTCCATAGACGAGCATCTAGGTCAAGTATGAAATGGTTATCGATCGAGATATTGGTAACAAGTTATATATGGCCCGTTCACTATTATGGATGGTGTTATACTGGTTGCTTGCTGCTCTTTGTGGGACTAATGCCTTAGACAGGTACTTAAGTTTATGCCCATGGAATTTGCTACTTTTTACTGAATTTTACTGTGCCAATTGTTGAAATCTTGATCTTGCTTTACAAATTGCCAACCATCTTTAGGAATTGCTGTGCCGTGGAACATGTACTTGGTAGTGAATTCGCTATGCCAGTTTATGATATCTAGATGTTGCAGTGCAATAGTTGGAACCATGTCCCACTGTTTTGAGCCCCAGAAATTGTTGTCCTCTGCTAAGAATTCTGTAGGTGCTTGCGAAAATTATCCACTATGGGGATTTCTAGTTGTTGCTTTACTATTTACCAACCATCGTTCAACCACTGGAAAAATGTTGTCTTGTGATAATGGAACCCTGTTGGGACTGAATTTACTAGACTAGTGATTGCTTTCTAGATGCTGCATTGCTATAATTCCCAACCATCTTTTCACTTTTAAAGCACTGAAAATTGATGTCAAGTGCTATGATCCTTCTAGCTGATGCAACATCTCGGTTTTTCCTATATCATGTGTACTGTCATTGTAGGACTTGTCCCTTCTGCAAATCTGCTTTTTGGGCTGCTTCTTATCCTAGAATCTCCCAGATGGCTGGTACTTATAATTATGTTATCTCAAAGATTTCAGAATCTAAGGCAGCTGGTTTTGAATTGTTTTTGACAAGAACGTCTGTTGTTCATATGTCCTGTAGGCAAAGACATGTAAGGAGAAGGAGATGGAGGTTGCACTGCATGAATTTTGAGAGGAGCCAGCGGAGATTAAGGTTTGTTATGCTATAACCTAAAATCAGACAAGCATGCAGTATAATGAGCTGAGCTGGCCTGCTTTCAATAATGTTTGATTGTTAAGAAAGTTGAGTAATTTTACAATTAGTTTTACCAGAGTTAAGGTTGGGGATATACTTAGAGGGTTCACTTATGGAGAGGTAGAGAGGTTTGGATTATGCTCGCTGTTTGACGATGATTTGTTGATGGTTCTAGACTGGTGTTGGCATGTGCTTTATCTATTGGGCAAAGCCACCTGTCATGCTATGGATATTTGTTTCCTTTGGCTTACATTTGTTTTATCGCCATCTGTTCGCAGCTCCCCCCTGTTTGCAGCTAGTACTAAACAGCGAATCTGCTGCTCTTCAAACTGATGTAATTGGGGTACTGACTACTGCATAACCGATTTAAATCTAAAAAATTATCATGTATATTTGTTGTTGTCATGTGTTTGCTAGCTATTCCAGACGAATACATTCTTTGTTGGTGCAGAAACTTTTAATCTATCCTTTGGTGTCCATGCTTCCTCTTGAACTATGTCAGGTACGATCGGTCTGCAAGCCTTTTGAGTTGAAAATTGATTCAACTTCATGTGGTCCTGTTTAATTACTCTAGGTAAACCTTTTTACTTTTGCATAGTTTGAAGAGTTGTGGACCTGAGTTTCTTGTATCTACACCTGAGAGACTCATGGAGCTTGTTTCCTTGAAGGCTATCAACATATTTGACGTCTCCTTTCTGGTAAGCTTTCATTTAAATTTAATTATGTGACTTTGAGGACTTGAGCAAATATTCCTAAAAACATACGTTTAATCTAACATTATATATCTTGTTCTAAGAGAAAATGTGGAAAAAGTTAGTGGGAATGTTTAGTTCTATGTTTGAGCTAACATTATATATCTGACGTTTCCTTCGCCTTCGAAACTGCCATTAGTTGTATTACATGGAATATGTGGTGATCCATGTATAGTTGTCACAATAATGCAGTCTCCCTGGTTGATGTTTGTTGCGTAATCGTGTTCATGCTTCTCCACAAATATTTTTGTAGTACAATCATAATGCTAGGCTGTTATTGCAACCTGGCCACTAGTTTCCTGATCTTTCTTCTTCTTGCGGATAGGTTGTCGATGGGCTAGAATTTCTTTCCAATGATGGAAACTCCGAGGCTCTAAATTCAATCAGGAATTGGATTTCTTCAAGCTCTCGTGTTGTGGTGTTCGGTAGTCATTAGGTTCTTTTAATTGTTATGTTTCTTTAGATGATGCTTGGATATTTATGGTAATTAAAATTTAGCCATGTAAACAATATCATGTTGAATCATGAATCATTGTATGAATGATGGAATATATATGCAAAATTGGCCAGGGACAAGTTTGGTTATGGGTTTTTCTATAGTAACCAGAGTATTTGTAACCAATTTATAGAAATCAATGGTAGGGTTCCGCATTAGCGACAGTTATGAATTCTTATATATTTTTCTTTAGTGACCATACTCAGTTGGTTGCAAAATCAATTAGTCACGAATTAAGCAAGGGTTTTAAACCTAGCTAGTTTTGAATTCGTACAAGAAATATCTTTAGTGACCATAATAAGTTGGTTGCAAAAATTAATTAGTCACGAATTAAGCAAGAGTTTCAACCCTTGCTAGTTTAGCAACAAATTTTCCAAGGGTTCAAACCCATGATACAGACATATATCTATTGGATTTTACATTGAAGTATAGCAAGGGTTGTACCCCCTGGTATATGTAGCAAGGGTAAAAACTCCTACTACAACCCTTGGAGGGGACTTCCACTGTGGGTTGCTAAAAATCCTTGCTATGTGTAGCAGGGGCAGCATTGGCGAGGGTTCGTCCAGGGGTTGGGGTAACCCTTGCTACAAGTCAACAAAACCCTTGCCATAGACCTCCTTTTTAGTAGTGTGAATAATTGGTGAAAATATGTTTCGAGCAACCACTAAAAGGGGTTGCCACAAATCCTCAAAGTAGCAACCTTACTTGATAGTAATTTATAAAGCTCTCAAGCAAAGATAAAATTAAGTAGCTGTTGAAAATGAACTTTTCCCAACGCCAATTTAATAGTAGCCTAATGCATGTTGGTCATTATTGCCACCAAACCATCTTGTCCATAGGGAGATAAACATACAAGCGAGTGACCACACCCTTCTCAAAAGTAGATTGACTACTGATGTGTATTGAGGAGAAATTTTACAATGCTATATAGTATTGGTGTTATAGTGTTTTATCTTTATGGTACAACTTAAAATTGTACATTTACGTTATGGTACAACTTCATATTGTACCTATACTTTTTGTACAAATTCTTTTATGGTACAACTTGAACTTGTACTTTTATGTGATGGTACAACTTCAAGTTGTAAAGTTGTACCATAACATAATGGTACAAATTGCTTTATGGTACAACCTAAACTTATACATTTAATGTTATGGTAAACTTTAAATTGTACATTAAAGCACCAATACTATATAGCATAGTAGAAGTGCTCGTGTATTGAGATGTAGTATTCTCGGAAAGTCATAAATCATAGATTTGTCGAGGGTAGTATTCTACGAGTTTTTTTAATTAATATTAACTATTTTGCAACTAATCACTTGTATTCATGGGCGAAGCCAGAATTCTGACTTCGAGTAGCCAAAAATCGAAATTTATACGTATTCCCTAATGATGGACGATTTTTCTACGTTGTCTTTTTTCATCCCACACTCCGTATGTGTTAAATAAGTGACTTCCCGATTTGAAATTGGTGCATGGTGAAAGAATCCACCACCCCTACCTTCCTAAAGATTGCAACTCTTTCTCCTACTCCAAGCTCCTGCTGGGATCAATTCCTTTCATTCTTTCAACCATACAAAGAAAAAGAAATCCATTCAACCCCTTTTAACATATCACCACAAGATTGCAAGCCTCAACTTCATGGGAATCTGAAGACAGTGTGTATCGATTAAGTGAGATCTGGTTGACAGAGCAGGCTAATTTGGTCTTCAGGATTCAATCACAATGGCCTGGGGATTCTACTTAGGGTTTTGGAAATCCATTACTGTAGACTATGTATTAGGGTTACCAATAATAGCAAAACACAGAGAAATCACAACACAGCAAGCAAGGCCATATTCAGAACCAAAGCATGAATTGAACAAGGAAACTTGAATCCTTTTTCGTCTATGTTTTTTTGTTCAACTGAATCAAACTAATCAAGTTATAGCTACGCAACTCATCTGGATAACAGTCTTTACACGGTTGCTGTTTCAGCCGCGGCGGAGGAGTCATCAATCTTTTCATCGTCGTCTGGATCGTAGTCGGGGTCGGACTTGGAGATGGCGGCATCAGACTTGTCGAGGAAGGGCTTGAAAGCAAACTCAATCGCCAGCCATCCGGAAGCTAGAGCAACAATCACTACAGCAGCTTGCTTAATGACCGCCTTCATCCTCCCTGCTTCCGGCTGCGCTCTCTTCTTCTTCCTATCTTAGCCAGAAGCTTAACAGCTTCGTAGGGTCTAGCTGATGCCGTGATTTAGAGTGAAAGCAGGAATTTATACTAGGCTAGCTAGCTAGGGTTTTTTTTACGGTCAAGTCAAACACCAACCAGACTTGGACTAGAAGGCTGCAAAAGCAAAAGCTCCGTTTCTTTCGTTTGAAACCCCGAATACAATAATATCGGAATTTGTGATAGTTGAATTATTAGTTAATTAAAAGGCAAAATACATCCATAACTTTGCAATAATAGCCAATTTTTTTATAAAAACACAAACCTAGTCAGATTCTGAAAATATTGTTGTCAAATTTAGCCATTCTATATAAAAAAAAGGACTTTAGCATTGTTAATGAGTCCTTCAGTAACATTTTTTTACGCAAACCTGTATACTTTAATTAATTAAGCGAATTGATTACATTGTCTAAAAGCAATTGATCCAACAACACCAATGGTGGTCTGTCGAACCAAACCTGCCTTTCATTCCACCTAGCATTCACACGGGCCATAAGATGTGTTGCAGCGTTCGCTTCTCTACCAATGTGGGTCACACGAACTTCTCCCATGTTTCTGATCCCGCGTTTGATGCTGCCACAGATGATTCCCATTTCAGTAGCGTCCTCCACCGACTTCTGTAGTGTTAGCACCAAAGTTTGGCATTCACTTTCCAGCACAAAACGAGATGTCTGGATCAATGTCGCCGTTTGCACTCCTAGCTCCATCGCAAGGGCCTCGGCCTGTTCCGCTTCCCACATACATCGAACACGCTTAACCGCCGCCAAAATGAAACTACCCCTGCTATCTCGAGCCACCACTCCCAGTCCAGCTCCCCCTCCCTCTAAAATTGTTGCATCAGTCGTGATCGAAACAACCCCCTCGACTGGCTTCTGCCATTTCTTCGGGACTCCATTTATCTGCCCAGCTTCACCCCTTTCTTGATGTCGCTTAAAATCCTCCAAGAATAGGTTCGCTCTAGCTGCAATTTCATCCTCAGGTAGTTTATGTCCATTGAAGAGTTGGGCATTTCTTTCTTTCCACAAAAACCATAATAATCCCCAACCAGCAATATCGGTATCATCTTTCTTTGTCATCACCTCCTTCATCCAATCCCAGCAGTCCCCCTGTTTTCGGAGTTCAAAACAGCCCACATATTGCGAATTGCGCCAAATCCTGAAGCTCCATCTACACTCCCCAAACAGGTGAACCTAAGATTCCCGTAGATTGCAAAATGGGCACCTGTCCCCCACTTCTGGCTTCGATTACTCATCTTGTCCCCCGTGGGTAGTGCTTCACGTGCAAACCGTCAGAGGAACATTTTCACTTTTGGCGGTATCGGCAGTCCCCACAGCCGCCTCCAAATCTCCGGGTCACCCACTGTTGTTATTCCTTTTTCCTCACAAAAGCCCTGCAGGCATAATTTATAACCTTCTTTCACCGAGTACAGTCCATTTTTACTCCTTGACCATATTAGTTGATCCACTGCGCCATTCCCACGTAATGGAATCTGCTCAATAACGCATACAACTTCCAACGGAAAAATGCTCTTTAACAGGCTATGGTCCCAAGCTTCCTCTTCGTCGTTAATCAACTCACGCATCATCGAGTCCAACGGAAGGCCCATGGGCGCCGACGGAATGAAATGTTCGGCTAGAGTGGGCACCCATCGGTCTCCCCAAATTCTTACTCCCGTGCCATTTCCAATTCGCCAGTGAAGTCCGCTGCATAAAAGATCCTGCGCCGAGAGAATGCTTCTCCATATAAAACTGGGTTTGTAACCCAATCTCGCCACCTCAAGTCACACGTCAGCTCCAACTAAATATATTATGCCTTCTAGATGCCACATCATATTTTAATTTTTTTTAACTCATAAATTAATTTTTTTCCTCCCTAATTTCTTCAGTAGCATATACTCTCGCTGGGTTTCACACAGGTTGTGATGTGTAAGTTTCTTTAATCGTAGTTGTTAGCCGAGTTTGTGGCTCTTGCATGTGCTTTAAGTAGATCAGGAATAGCTGCTGGCAATGTGGAATACTATGTAAATTGTGGTGGAGAGTTCCCGTGTTCAGAAGCCTATTTCTCGTGATTAATAATTATACTCACGGAAAATTACCGTAATATAAAGCTCCGTGACTAGTTGTATACAGTGGCTAGTTATCTAATCACTGTGTAGTTTCCCATGATTATTTGTACCTATTGATCACGGGTAACCCCGTAACAAATGTTAAATTTTAGAGCACTGGCAAGAAAAAACACTTCTAAAGATGTGATGTACCCTTTTAAGAGAATATTTACTGTGACAATTTGGTTCCCGTGACGACCTATAGATCTTTTAAGATGGTACTTACCGTGACAAAATGCAAATTACTAGTCACGGTATTCCCCTGACTTAATTACACACATACAACAATGAAATATCATGTTGCTAATTGCAGCTTGCAAGTGGTAGATACAGCTTCAGCCCGGCGTTATGTTCAAAGCAGTAAAGTCTCTCGTCAACAACAATAAGATTAAAGAAAATATTAGGGTAAATACAATATACTAGCTTGAACCCGGCCGGTTGGCCGGATTATTTTATATTAATTTCATCGGTAATCTAAATTGAATTTTTCTCAATGGATCGTGTATTTATAAGTATTTTATAGGCATGCCTATTTCGGCAATCTCTTTACCTTTTGAATGGCTTTTACATAATCATTCTCGATCGTAGTGTTAAATAACAGGTATGGACAAAGGGTTGTGCAAACTGTATTGATCTAAAAGAATTTCTTTCGAACCAAACAAAAGGAGATTATAGAATATTGAAACAAACCAATTTCGTCAGGAAAGTAGCGCCCTTAACTTGCACAAATATCATCGATCGATTTCCAGATAATAAATCTATATTTTATAATAACTAAAAATTCCGCAAATTATATTAAAACCCTTGTTCAAACATCAGTGGATAAACAGAGACCATTGGGCGAAAATCAATAATGTCATTGATTAATTTTGCAACTCTCAAGTACGCAAATAGATATAGTACGAAAGGTAAATATTACAATCTACCCTCCATTCCCGAGTAATTGAGAATTGTTACAAATGTTCGTTGGGACTTTGTAATCCATTGAGTAAGTGAGATTGTCCGCTTTTTAATAGGCTTGTTTGGTTTAAGAACTGCGATGCAATTTCTTTCCTCGCGAATCTTACTTTGATATTGTGTTTGATTTTGGAAGAGTGTGAGTCTATATCTCAGGTAAGTTGTGCCCTTATACTATTTCACTGACAGATGATGAGTACTCGTCATGATCTCAGTGGGTACAATATCTTATTTGATCAGGTTTGATATTCACGTTCCATTCTGGCATGTTGTCAATTCCATTTTTGTTACATTCTTCAACTGATGTTCATTTGTTTCCACCACTCCTTCAAATATTACAACATAAATATTACAGTCTTTCCACCACTCCTGAGTAATTGAGAATGGGTAAAGTAAAGATTAAAGAAAGATCCAATCCGCAATTGATTAAGAATGATAGAACCTGTAAAAAATACCCTAGTGTTCACACATCCAGTATGCTTGAATAACATGAGAAATGACATAGAGGTGGACACTAAGCAACGCTAGTAGAATCAATACATTGCTGAAATATTATTCAGTTACCCAAAGGCAAAAATAGTTTTATCAAGAGCAACTCAAAATAATTCGACACATTGTTCCAAGGATCGATTGTGACCATGACCTCATAAGAGTTTCCACCAAGCAAGTACAGAACAGTAACATAGTCGGCATATTGACAATATCTTCAGGACTTACTAAAGATGCAACGATCCTGCGTAAGTATGACGATGGGAAAACAGCTTCAACATCAATGATGCCATCCTCAATAGTTACGTGGATCAAATGTACTCTAGATGTAGCACACCCAGATGTCCTCAACTCAGTGACAGGTCTGGAGAGGAGTTAAGAAGTGCCTTGGTGTAAAAAAAGAAATGGATTTGAAAAAAAAACTCCAAAAGACGAAACGCTATAAAGGCATAAGAGATGGAGAAGGATAAATAAGAAAAGCTTATTTTAACAACCTCATTATCACCATCCAATTGCAACGATATAAGATCCATTGTATCAATAACTTGAGAAATAGCTACGGCTTCCTCATAATTCATATTTGCAACGAAACCAGAAGCAATGGTAAAATGCTTATAAATTAAACTGTTAGCAATGGCGGTGAGTAGGAAAAATAAACGGAATATACTGTTGTGTTAAGGTAGGTTAGACAAACAATACTTACGGGTTCCATTGAGGTACGACATCCATTATTAATATCTCACTTGTGTCACCAAGAATTTAGAAGATAACATAGTTTACAACCCACAAAAAAGCCAATGTCAAAACTCAAAACCACGAACACCTGCAGGAAACAAAAAAAAAATGATCGTTTTAGCCACCAAATGAGTTGCCCGTTACTTATCCTTTACACTGGTTACTTTAAAATTTTATTTTAAATTTGTTGAATTACCCATGAGTAAGCGAAGTAATTAACTTTTGAGGCATTCTGCTACACAGGGGAGAGTGATTGCCATTATTGTGCTTTGGGGGCGGGGCTTTTGACTCCAAAAGTGACTCGGACTAATTGACCCAACCTAACGGTGTCAATATGGTCCCAAGGAAAAATAGTGGCAAAGGCCAAAGGTTGTTAAGTTGGACATGTCAGAGATGTATTTAATATCCGCGCAAAAAAGATATCACGAACAATGTAGTCAAAATCGCGCTTTAAAACTTAAAAACTTACGACGCTTCTAGCTCACCAAAACGCTTTTACGCATAATCTCAATTTTTATTACTAATGTAGTTAAAAACTACGCTTCAAAGCTTAGAAACTTACGGTTTTACGCTTCTAAATCGTCAAAACGTTTCTACGTAGAAACGCGCTTTTGACTACATTGATCTACTATAGTAGAGCAGAATGGACACTCAATCCAGAAATCTCAGGAAAAGGGATCCCATATGCAAGAAGCACTTACTCAAACCGTAGAATTTGAAACATATGACCACTACTAATCCCAGGACTTGGTCAGGAGAAATAGCGTACGAAAGTGTATAACAAAACCCTATCATATAATTACTCCATAAAACTTCCCTTTTCATACCCATCTGTTGTCTTTCTGTTCATCTTCTCCTCAGATTCCTCCCGAGTTAGTTTGAATATATTGCAAATATGATCTCAACTCTGTTTAAAAATAATAAATTCTAGCCTTTTCCTATCAAATATTAAGCAACCAAAAGTGATAGATCTGTGTGCCAACAGTTTGAAGGGTTACATTTGTTATTGGCAACCTGTCTGGCGAACCTCTTTCCTCCCTTCTTGCAAACTGAAGCAGCAGGGACCAAGATAGTGAATTCTGAAAGGAGAGTCTATCACGCGTGCCTCAAAATTAATACAATGAGCAAAACCGTATTAGCGTAATTTAATAAAAGCTACAACTGAGCATACAGGAAAACAAAGCAACCATGAAAGAACAACAACTTGCAATACACGTAGAAAGATCTCGAGACAAAGTCCATAAGATAGAACATGAGGTTTTCGCAGTCAAAGGAGTAATGGATGCTAATCTACTTATGTAAACACCAATTACGTGAGGACTAACATTGGTGTAAGTAATTAACAATAGTTAGAATCTCAAGTTCACTTCTACTTATGAATACGAAGCTTTCGAGGTAGATCAGCAAGAACAAATAAATGACTCATTAATATAAAGAGATATGACCCTCAATTGGCGCTGAAAGAGAAGGCAAAGTTTTATGTTGAATTCCCAATGGCTATGACATAGTTCTAAATGTAATAAATTTAAAGAGCTCACCTAAAGAACACTTCCCCGGATGCTTCGTTATCCCTTTCTCCAATCTTTGAGGCCTGCAGTTTCATGATCATGCAAAATAAAGGCGAACATCATTGCCAGAAGAAACTAAACACGAACGGAATAGAATCAACTGAACAACACCACCATCATGTTTGACTGCCACTTTCCACTCTACTAAGCAAACATGAACTGGAAAGAGATACGTCAACCAACTTATTATAACATTAAAAACAGCCTCATAGAAGATTAAGGTCAATAAAGTGATGCAAGAAACAATGAATGATTAAGGATAGAAAGCTGATAGATTAGGAAGTAAAGGAGTTAAGGGCCAATTCAGGAAAAAGGATGTACCTGTGATGATAAGATTTCTGACAACAGAGCAAGGAATGGTCCAGCAAGGTAAATGCAGAAACCATACAACCACCTTTAATAGGACTATGCTCCCTAGTTACTTTGCCACCCCTAGAAATTCCTAGAGAAATAACGATTGAGTTAGTAAACAAAAAAATAATCACGCTCTATCTAAAACCAGTATTTAAAATTCATATTAGGAGAGCATCAAGCTCTGCAACACCTCATACATACAGATGCTTTCATTCTCAGTGTGACGATCTGATTCGCGAAAACAAAGGACAGAACGATCCAGGATCAGTCAACGTACTACCCCGTTTTTAACAAACAAAGGGCATTAGTTAACAATCCCATAGCTGAATATGAAATTGAGATCACAACACTACCTGTGATCAAGAGAAGGAGTTGAGGTGGAGCTACATATATGATCCTCAGTTTGGTTTCCTCAGCCTGATGTCCCGCCTCCTTTTGAACTACAAAATCTCAAGTATCCATGATCGATGGCTGGATCAATGATTCTAAACAGGAAACATAACATAAACACAGTAACAGCAAAGTCACAGACCTGTAGGTTGCATCCATTGAGATAGATATCTTCATGGTACCAGCTCTAGCCTCTAAGTTCCCCTCTGCACTTCCCTAAAAGTACAATAACACATACTGTTCAAAAGCTTGCTGGAGTATTGTAGCAAAAAAGCCTGCTGGAGTTTTAAAAATGCAGCAGCAAAGCTTGTTTCGACTTGCGTCTTGATGTTTGACCAAAAGAAATCACCTCCTCTATAATACCCATTCCCTTCCTGCTTCCCTTCTTCTTCTCTTCTCTCTCCACCAGCACCCGAGTACCCATCATGAGCAGATGAGCGAGGCTGTAAGGTGGTTAGGTTTCCTGATGATGTCGCCCAGTAGAGGAAAATGTATTGTGCATAATAGCTTCCATGTGGGTATCAAGGTGGGTAAAATGTTTGTGAAGAACATAATCGTGTATTTCCCGGTGTGTAGCCCATGGAATTTTCGGAACGCCTGAGCTCCGATAAACAGAGTCGACATTAAGGTTATCCCCACCAAATACCTGATGATCCACCCAAAATTCCCAAGTCAAGTAAGGAAATGAGATTGCAAACAGAGAACTGCTGAATTTTACCTGTACTCTTCGTATCCATCGAAGCTTATCCAGTCGTCGTAGTTGTTACTGGCCATGACTATCGAAGCAAGAAGGGAGAAAAAGAAACCTAACCCTCTACATGTCATCGAAGATTATTTAACCGATACTCTCCTCTCCACCTAATCAAGATTCCCCCGATGCGGAACCCGAATTCCATATCTCCAGCGGAGTTCCGAGGCCTGCCCGTGGCGGTGGAGGCAGAACGATAGGGGCTGCCTGGGCAACGGTTGTCGTGATTCTCCGGCTGGGTGTGGTACGCCTTCCAACCACCGTGTGCTACAACTACTGCGTAATAAAACGGTTCCCAGAAACCCAGTAACCCCCAAACTGCCAAAAATCAGTCGGGCATCTCCACAGCCCAATCATTCTGATATCCAAGTAAAAAAGAAGCGCCTTTGAGTTCAATGTAGTACCTTGACAATGAATTCGACGATGGACTGGGGAGAGTCAGATAAGGAACGCCCTCTACTCCTCGCTTGGATACACTCTCTCGTGCTGGGAAGAGCAATAAGATGGAAAAAGGAGGACTGGCTGGTACAGCGAGAAGGTTTCCACGGTGGAAGAAAGATGGCGGTTGCAGATGAGCCCCGACAACAAATTGGAAGAGGGAGGAGTCGTCAGTGGGACATACTGGGCCAAGAAGCAGGCCCAACGAACACACATAGTGACATAGAAGCTCTCGGCGGTTTAATTATTTTTTCGGCTTCCCAAAATGCCCCTCCGCAAAACGCTCCGGAGGCAGCAAAATTGAAATGGGGATTCAGTTTTCCCCTTCAGCGTATTATAAGTAGAGTAGATAGATAGATAGATAGATAGATTAGTCACAACTATTATGAAGTGAAGAATTATAGCCACAATTATGAAAATACAAATTATTAGCCATAACTATTGTTGCGGGTCAAGAAATGGCTGACTGTCCGTTACTATTGTTAAATTTTTAACGGAGAAAGCCACATCATCGGCCACGGCAGCAGCCAGGTCGGACTACTTTTAATTTATAACTTTAAAACATAAAAGTTTAGTCAGCATTACTAACAGAATTGTTAACAGCGAGTTAAGGTTTGGCTAATAATTTGAATTTCCATAGTTGTGGCGATAATTCCCCGTTTCATAATAGTTGTGGCTAATATATTGTATTTACCCAAAATATTATTATATTATTCATGATCAAGAGTAGGGCTGGCTATTTGGACCGGGACCGGATAAAAAATTGGAAACCGGACCGTATAACCCGGACCGAGACCGGACCGGGACCGGATAGTAAACAATCCAATACAATCTTTGGGCTTAGATTTGAGGTAAAAAACCGGATAAAGACCGGATAAGAGAGCTCAACACCCAAAACTTAAGGGTAATTTGCATAAACGGTCACAAACCTTTACACTTAGTACAAAACTTAACCAACTCCTCACCCTTTTAGGCCTTAGAACACTCAAATTCCCACAATCTCAATATAAAATCAAGACCGAATTGGGACCGGACCGGGTCAAGACCGGACCGGATCAAGACCGGACTGTATCCAATCCAATCTTCGGTCCTTATATTTTCAAAAAAACCGGACTGGACCGGATCAATTTCGGCCAATTTAACCGGACCGGACCGTATAGCCACCCCTAATCAAGAGCGTTTTGGATCCTTTAGCTACAATATATATAACAGTAGTAAGAAGATCTAAATAATTTTAAGATTACAATCTAAGATAAAAAAAAAAAACTCAATCCGCCATGGCCATTAGATGACCCACAATAGTATATCATTTTTGGAATTTGCAGATGGATCTCTTTGTAGTATAAAGCATTCTGGAAATCTGGGATTGTATAAGTGTTCTTAGCCCGTAGAAGTTGATTGCATAACAGGGATCAAACACGACTCATTCTGCAAACCAAAAAGCTAAATATCATTAGTTTCTCAACTCTAAGCTCCAACAAACAAGCAAAAATGGCGATGGCAGGAGATACAAGAACGGATTTCAAAAAGAAAAACCAGTTGGATAGAATGATGCATCCCCACCTGCTCTGTTTATGGCACAAGTAAAAAAAACCTCACATTATTCCAGTGGCGGATCCAGAATTTTTTTTATAGGGGTGTCCTTTTTTAAAAATTAAATTAAATTAAAAATAAATAATCCATAAATCAGAAAATAGTCTTCGTGTCTACACCGCTCAACAAATTTTCTACTAGACAATAATTGACGAACTGATCACATATTCGATTTCTAACATTGTTCTTGATGTAACTCAAAGTTGAAAAGACTCTTTCAACACTTGTCGTGTAACCGTAAAATCAATTAAAATTGAGGGTAGCCTATAATTAGTTTAATTGTTAGGATTTTCTTTACAATTAAACACTTGTCGTATAGCATTTTTACTATTACATAGTGTTTAAAATTAAACAACAAATGAGTTGCAATCTAATGGAGAATATGTTTAATAATAGTAGTGTCTTAAGTTTGAATAATACATACTACCGCTTATATTTTTTTAATATACAAACTACAACCAAAAGGATGATAATCATTTTTTTCAAATTTTAGAGGTGTCCCGAATTACCAATTATAATTATATTCATACGAAACTACTACTTGGGGTTGAATACTCGTTCACTCAAATTTTAGGATGTCTCGAGACACTCCTAAAGCTACATGTATCGGCCACTGCCTCATTCACAAAGCTCAATCGGACAAAAAAGGACAGTCTTCACAAGGAACAAGGTAAACATAATTAAATAAAAAAGATATGGTATATTCCAACCACACCGCATACGATCGGGTGGAATGGCCATTTTTATTCGCATTGCTTGAGAAACTTGGTTTCAGTGCGCAATGGATCAAATGGCTACGGGCGTGTGTGTCTTCTCCGACGTTTTCTGTTTTGATGAATGGAAAGCCTTCAGGGTATTTTAGTGCGACGAGAGGTCTTCGGCAGGGTGATCCTTTATCTCCGCTACTGTTTGCTATCTGCACTGAGGGTATCGCTGTTTTGCTTCAGCAGGCGATCTCAAATCGTGTTTTGATCGGTCTTCGGATTAGCCCCCGGTGCCCTGTTGTCTCGCATTTATTCTTCGCGGATGACTCGTATTTGTTCCTACGAGCTTCACGATCTGAATGTGCACACCTTGTTGGGGTTCTGAAGCAGTATGAGGAGCTAAGTGGTCAAAAATTCAATCTGTCTAAGTCAGCGGTTTGTTTTAGCAGAAATACATTAGCAACTGATAGAGAAGAGATGGGGCGTATGCTTGGAGTGGGTGCCATTGGTGTTACAGATCAATATTTGGGTTTGCCGTCCCTGGTGGGGCGCTCTAAATATGATACCTTTAGGTATATTGAGGAGCGAGTTATTCAACGCCTACAGGGGTGGAAGCAGCGATGTTTATCTTGGGCTGCTAAGGAAGTCCTTATTAAGTCTGTTGCTAATGCTTTGCCTATCTATGTAATGTCTTGCTTCCTTCTGCCTCTGTCACTGTGTCATTTGCTGGATAGAAATTTGGCTAGATTTTGGTGGGGAGTGAAACAGGGTGAGCGGCGGATTCATTGGGTTTCTTGGAAATCGTTGTGCTTAAGTAAACATGAAGGAGGTTTGGGTTTTAGGCGTTTTGAGGAGTTTAATCAGGCTTTGTTGGCAAAGGTGGCGTGGCGAATTTGGAAAGAGCCTAATTCTCTGTTAGCTCGGGTGTTTAAGGGTAAGTACTTTCCCAACTCCTCTATTCTGGTGGCCAAGGCTGGATCTTTACCTTCTTGGGGCTGGCGGGGGGTGTTGCATGGACGTGATTTGCTGGTCCAAGGTCTGCGATGGCAAGTTGGCTCGGGTGAGTCGATAGATGTGCTAACGGACAATTGGGTGCCAACGTTGCATCCATCTCCCCGACACCTCGTCCGAGGATCATTAGGGTCGAGGGGTCAGTTGCGTCTTTAATTTGCCCAAATCAAGGGGTTTGGAGGGTGGATTGCCTACGTCAGATCTTTGAGGAGGATACTGTCCGAGCTATTCTGGCTATTCCGTTGCCTATTTCGCCGGTGCCTGATCGTATGGTTTGGAATGGGGAGCAATCAGGTCGCTATACGGTCAAGTCTGGCTATCATTTAGCAGTGGAGCTACGGAGGTATAAGGAGTTAAGGGTGAAGGCAAAAGTGCAGGTGTGGGATCGTAGTCTTTGGAAAAGGGTTTGGGGGGCTCCCATACCTCCCAAGTTGCGGTATTTCATATGGCAGATGGTTCGCGGTGTCTTGCCAACTGGTGAGGCACTGAGTACTCGGGGGGTAGGGGGGCTGGAGCCATGTCCAGTCTGTAGGGAGGAGGGGGAATCTCTTGAACATCTCTTCTTCCGCTGCCGAGTAGAGGTGGAGTTGTGGGAAGGGGCGGGGCTTCTGCCATTCGCGATCGCTTTCCCCATTGCCATGTTGGGATCTTTTGGCGCAAGTTACTCGAGTGGCGGGAGCTTAAATCCTATTACGGAGCTCTAGCCCATCAAAATTGGTCTTCAGGTGTCTTCAAATGGAAGAAAAACCATTCAAATCAGTACCATACACACTCAAACATATACCGACATACACATTCAGAACCCAGAAAACAACACTACACCATTAAGAACCTCAACAACAAACTTAAAAAATAAAACCAATACCATCTCATACAGCCTGCTAAAATATATTTGGATCTCAAAGCCTGAGTATTAAGATTATGTGATATACTGAGTTAAGATGCACAAAAAATAGAACGAGATATTTAATTGACCTTCCTCGTATGAATTTTAATATTTAATTGAAGAAGATAATCAACCCCCACTGATTTCTTATTTTCGTTAAATCAGAGCCACTATTATTAAGCAAAGCATCGCATCGCAAAACACGATACCAAATTGATACAATGAAAGGGGAGACTTCATTGTGAACTCCCTCGGAAAAAGAAACAAACCTCCCTACTCAGCCACTCACTACTCTGCAATCCACAGTAGGTCAACTATGGATCCTTTCAAGTAATCCTATACACTCAAAATCAGAGGATAACAATAGATCACCACTTAATCTACAGCTCAAGTCAAATTTAAAACTTTTCCAAATATCAGCAACACTTGTGGGATCTACACCATGAAATCTGTGACACCTTTCCTGCCATGTTGCTGCAGAAATTCCACACCATATCACACACATTGCTCTCCCTGCTGGTGTTTGTTGCTTAGCCACCTCACTTGCCGATCTCAACACTCTCTCCCAAGACTCTGCAAACCATTGGGCGATATCAGCAACCTGCAAAAGCTGCTGTACAAACATGCAAGCAAAAAACAAATGCTCCCTATCTTCACTTTCCAATCCACAAAGAAAACATTTGTCAGTTTCAATTCTCCTCCATTTATGTAACTTGCTTCGAGTCGACAAGGCATTCATCACTATAAGCCAAGCAATGAAACTAAATCTAGGGATATTATGTTTTCCCCAGATCAACTTATGCCAATATTGCTTACTGCATTCAGGGCGAAGCGTGTTCCATACACGTTTAGCAGAGTATTGCTCCATAGGCTCTCCATCCCAAAGAACTCTATCTCTCTGCTTACAATGAAGATGTTGAACTTTAGGACGAAGCCGCAATACCTTCCTCCACGCCCAAGAGCTGCTGGAGTTAACTTTCATTTGCC